GATAGATAGATAGATAGATAGATAGATAGATAGATAGATAGATAGATATTGCAATAAATGTATGTATGTATTTATTTATATGTATGTGTGTGTATACACACACACACATGCACACGTATTTTGCAATATTTATCATATTGGTATATCTGTCTGTCTGTCTGTCTGTCTATCTGTCTATCTCTGTCCATCCCTCATCTATCTTGCAATGTTCAAAGACACAGGCCTTAGTGCTGAGGAACACAAAATTCCAATAGTTGACAGACGAGCTTCAGATAATTAAAACTCTGTATTCACTGGTGGGATTCAAATAATTTAACAACCGGTTCTCCACCCTAATGATTTATTCCAACAACTAGTTCGCCAAACTGCTCAGAAAGTTAACCACCGGTTCTCCTGAAGTGGTGCGAACTGGCTGGATCCCATCATTGGGGATAGTGAAGGAAAGTGCGTTAAGAATGTGTACAATGGAACAAGAAATGAATGAATGATAAACTGGTCCCATTTATGAGCCATGGTGGCGCAGTGGTTAGAGTGCGGTACTGCAGGCTACTTCTGCTGACTGCCGGCTGCCTGCAATTTGGCAGATCGAATCTCACCAGGCTCAAGGTTGACTCAGCCTTCCGTTCTTCCGAGGTTGGTAAGATGAGGACCCAGATTGTTGGGGGAAGAGGCTGACTCTATAAACCACTTAGAGAGGGCTGTAAAGCACTGAGAAGCACTATGTAAGTCTTTGCCCAGTGACTGAATTTATGTTTGCTCTTTGTCCTTTGCAGAGTGTCCTCCATGCAGTTACCTGTCACGAAAAAGTGGTCATTGTCCGAAAGGATAATCTAGAGTCTCTGGGGATGACGGTGGCAGGAGGACTATCTTCTCAGAGAGAATGGAATCTACCTATTTATGTTTTAAGTGTTGAACCGGGTGGAGTCATCAGCAGAGATGGCCGAATAAAGACAGGTGATTGCATATCAGTTCGGAGTATACTTTGAGATGGGGGTTCCACCTAGCTCAGCTCAAAGCAACTTCATTTTTCAGTCTTTTATTATGTAACTTTTTAAAATGCATTTAGCTGGAAGAGGGTTTAGTTTAGTTTAGTTGTTTAGTTTAGTTTAGTGTCATTGCACCTCGTACAACGCAATTAAATGCCACCTTCAGTGTACATTATACTTCAGAAAACTATAAAAATAAAACAAAAAGACACAACCTTTACATTCTATACATTGAATTGAAAACGCCTGATATTGCATTAATATTGCACTATACAGCAGAATTCAAAAGAGCAACTGCCCTGGGATAGAAGCTGTTTTTCAGCCTATTTGTCCTTGTTTTTATTATCCTGTACCGTCTGCCAGATGGTAATAGTTCAAAAAAAAGGTGCCCAGGATGAGATGTATCTTTAAGGATGTTTTGAACTTTCTGAAGGCAGCGGGAGCTATAAAGCTCTTCCAAAGAGGGGAGAGGGCAACCCATGATCCTCTGGGTAGTGATGTTAACCCTCTGGAGTACTTTCCTATCTGCCACTGTGCAATTGGCAAACCATACACAGGTGCAATAAGTTAAGATACTCTCTATGGTGCAGCGGTAGAAGGTCACCAGCAGTTTTTCATTCAGGTGTTGCTTTCTGAGAAGTCTCAGGTAGTATCATCTCTGCTGGGCCCTTTTGACCAGGGCTGCAATGTGAACACCCCATTTTATGTTGGCTTCTTCTATCATTAGTGTACTGTTGAATCTTGGGGAGGTTAAATTAGACTAGATTGGATCACAATAACACATTAAAATAACAGGGTTGCATGGGACCTTGGAGGTCTTCTAGTCTAACCCCCGGTTCAAACAGAAGTCCATATATCATTCCGGACAAATGGTTGTCCAATGTCTTCTTGAAATCCTCCAGTGATGGAGCAACCACAGTCTCTGGAGGCAAGCTGTTCCACTGGTTGATTATTCTCACTGTCAGGAAATTTCTCCCTAATTCTAGGTTGGATCTCTTTAATGATCTTCTACCTGTTACTTCTTGTCCTACACTTAAATGTTTTGCAGAATAGGTCAACCTCTTCTTCTCTGTGACAGCCTCTCAAGTGCTGGAAGATAGTTTCCATGTTGCCCCTAATCCTTCTTGCTTACTTCTCTTAACCATTCATCGTATGGTTTAGCCTCCAGATAAGTTGCTTTGTTGCTCTTCTTTGCGTTAATTTCGAGGGCATCAGCATTTTTTTTGTATCATGGTGAGCAGAACTGGATGCAGTATTCCAAGTATGGCCTCACTAGTACAGACAGTATTGTTCTGACTTCCTGAGACCGTATTTAATCACACACTTAGTCAAAATAACTCTTGTTTTATTTCAACGCTGGGAATTATGTTCATTCCCAGCCCATAATGAGTCCCAAACAGTCCCTCGAGATAAGCACCCACCTTTCTCTCCTTTGAATTGTTGCCAACAACCAACGTACCAAATTAACTGAGGGGAAAAAAACCGAAGTACAAAGTCCACACATAGCTTCAAGGTTTAATCTGAACAGAGTGAATGACTTTGCTTCCTGCAAAGGTTTCTCTATCTTTGCACCTCCTTTATATCTTAGGGGAGGGGCAATCACCTCCAAGCCTTAATCCAGAGTCGCCCCTTTTGTCTCAGCTGCTCTTGCCTTCTGGCAGCTCTGCGCATACGCGCACTGGGAACAGGCTCCCCTGGTTCCTCTGCCTCGCTGCTGCCAGACTCCGGAGGCTCCAGAGTCAGCACACAACTCTCAGATGGTCCTGGCCCCATATCTGCATCTGATGCATGACCCTTGTCCAAGTCCTCCCCAGACTCCCAGACTGGTCCCTGTTCTTCCCCACTGTCCAATTCTGCTGCTGTCTGCAGAGGCTGCCGGCGAACCACAGCAAGTATAAAGTGGGACTATCATTAGTCATGATCTTGATGCTTTCCCACTGTTGATGCATCCTAGGGCTGCATTGACTTTTTTGGCAGCTACAGCACATAATGGTGTCATACTTAAGTGATGGTCTACTCAGACACCTCTCTCACACAGTTGTGCATTTGATTTTTCTTGCCTCAGTGGTTTTCTCACCACTGAACTGTGTCTTGTTGGTCTCAATGCTCAAGTCTGCCAAGAGCCTTTTGAATCTTGATACTACCTTCCAGTGTTGGCAATTCACCCCTACCTTGATGTCATCTGCAAATCTAATGAGTTCCCCTTCTCTCTCCTAACCTAAAGCAATTGGTGCTGTGAAACTGAAACTCCTCTCCTCTGCTTGTGTTTTGCATTTGGAAGAGATTTCTTTTCAGGTGGGGGGAGGGAGAGTAGAACTCCTCAGAGTGTGTTAATAATAATATAGGAAATACTAACGCTCTGATGGTCATTTTGAAAAATCCTTTCTTAGTGAGCACCTAGAAGCCAAGAGGAACATACATGCCAAATTTCAAGTTTGTAGGCTTTAGGGTTCTGGAGATTTTGTGATGATGCGTGAGTGGTATTTTGCTTTTATATAGAGAGATGAGGCTCCTGAAACACTAATCACTCCCATCCATTTCTGACATAACTTTATGGCATTGTTTTCAGTGAAGATTTTAATTTTTCTAAAGCTCCAGTTTTTTTCCCCATGGGAAAAGGGAAAATGAGTCACAGTATGTATAGTGATTGGAGTTTTGGATTAGATACATGAAGACCCCTTCAACTCCCCATTCAGCTATAAAACTAATTGGGAATTAACAGGCATTGACTATCTCTCAACCTGATCTTACCTCAAATAACAGCTATAAAAAATTACCAAATGCTGCATTTTTATACTTCGGAACCGAGAGGCAGATCTTAAGTGAATTTAATTTTGAATGTGCCTACATTCTGCTGTTATTAAAAAATAACATCTGATCTTCCTGTCAAGTTTTTAGCTTAATTTTTTTACACTGATGTCTACGTATGTTATCCAGTTCGGCATTACCTATTCTCAAGTGGGAGTCACCATCTAAAATGGCTGGAGATAAATTGAGAACAGAGAAGAAATTACTTTATAATTTATTCCAGATACCACAACTATCTGTAAAAACCTGACACTTTTTTTTTCAGGGTTCTTCCCATATTTAAACTTGTTTTCAGTGCTTCCAAATGTTAGCTTTGCACATCATTCTTGTGACAGCATGCTATGATTAGTTTAAAAGGGGGTCGGCTTTAATATGCACAATATGTCATTCCCTCATCTATAGCCATATTAATATTTCAATCCAGGATTGTGCATACTACAATCTTGAACCATGATTAATAATGATTAAATTCAAACCTTTGAATACCCACTAAAAGATGTTGATCTCTCTTACATCTTAAATATATGCAAGAATCTAGCATTCTTACTCATAACAGTATTGTTTTATTTTTATTTATTTATTTATTTATTTTGTCAAGCGATTATAAGATAACAGGTATAAGTATAAGCATGGTTATGATTACATGAAATGGATATGAATAAAAAAAGAAACAATAGGACAGGGACGGTAGGCACGTTGGCACGCTTTTGCACGCCCCCTACAGACCTCTTAGGAAAGGAGTGAGATCAATAGTAGACAGTCTAAGGTTAAAGTTTTGGGGGTTTGGGGAAGAAACCACAGAGTCAGGTAGAGTATTCCAGACATTGACCACTCTGTTGCTGAAGTCATATTTCCTGCAATCAAGTTTGGTGCAGTTAACCTTGAGTTTGCATCTATTGTGTGCTCTTGTATTGTTATGGTTGAAGCCATCAATTGTGTGCTCTTGTATTGTTATGGTTGACAGGTAGGACATTGCAATGTATAATTTTATGTACTATACTTAGATCAGACTGAAGGCGTCATAGTTCTAGGTTGTCTAGGTCTAGAATTTCAAGTCTGGTGGTATAAGGTATTCTACAATGGGTAGAGGAGTTTTGAACTCTTCTTGTGAAATATTTCTGGACTTTCTCCACTGTATTAATATCAGATATGTAATGCGGGTTCTAGACTGATGAGCTGTATTCAAGTATTGGTCTAGCAAAAGTTTTGTATACTCTAGTTCATCGTGTGATATTATCTGAGAAAAAGCTATGCAGGATTAGGTTAACAACTCTTAATGACTTTTTGGCTATGTAGTTACAGTGGGCTCTAGCACATAGATCACTGTAGAGATGAGTACTTCAAGGTCCTTTACAGAGTTTGGATACTGTAGTCAAGCATTAGACCTCTTAAATATATAAGGAGCCTAACCCTTATATAAGGATACGATAAAACATACAAACAAACAAATAAATGTCAACTATTTGTTTAATGGATATCGGACGCCAACTATAGAGTTCTTAATTATTGTAAATGTAATTTTTCATTCCATTATTCTGTTCTATTCTGTTCTATTCCATTCCATTCCCCTCCCTACCGTACCCTACTCTATTCTATTCTATTTCCTATTCTGTTCTGTTCTGTTCTATTCTATTTCCTATTCTATTTCCTATTCTATTTCCTATTCTATCTCCTATTCTATTCCATTCCATTCCATTCCCCTCCCTACCATTCTATTCTATTCTATTCTATTCTATTCTATTCTATTCTATTCTATTCTATTCTATTCTATTCTATTCTATTCACAGCCTAAATTTGGCCCCACTCAGAGTGGTGAGCATAGCTTTGAATGAAAACCATTTCCACTGTTTTGTTTTTCGTGACCCTTAGGAGATATCCTGCTCAGCGTGAATGGAATTGATCTGACAGGTGTCAGCCGCGGAGAGGCGGTAGCCCATCTGAAAAATGTCTCCTCATCGGTTGTGTTCAAAGCACTAGAACTGAAAGCCTGTGAGACCACGGAAGGAGAAAACGGGGACTTATTGCCCGATGCCAATTTTAACCCCTCCAGTCAGAGTGAGTGGTCTCCTTCCTGGGTGATGTGGCTTGAATTACCAAGGTGAGTTGACGCCAAGAAAGTTTTATGACTTACGTGAGGCTTACGTGACTCTTGCTCAGCTTAATGCATGGCACATATATTTTAATTAAATCCAGGCTCTTCTGCCTTCCCCATGCTGTATCTGTTGTAGCTATAGGCCTAGCCATTATACAGGTTACACATTATGCATTACAGGTAGTCCTCAGCGTATGACCACAATGGAGCCCAACATTTCTGTCGCTAAGCGAGACAGTTGTTAAGAGAATTCTCCCTCATTTTATGACTTCTTTTGCCACCACTGTCTATGGAGATTTTCAGTCATCCAGGTCATGGTTGTCCTAAAAGTGGTTTTTTTCCAAGAGGCAACTGGACTTTCTTGGTTTTTCTTTGAAGACATTTCACTTCTCATCCAAGAAGCTTCTTCAGCTCTGACTGGATGGTGAGGAATGGAAGGATTTATATTCCTATAAGACAAAGCTGGTCATTTGCATTCTTTTAAAGAGTCGTTGAGGCCTCACCTGGAGGTTCCTCTGAGTCCCCAGGGTCACTTGAGTAGCGCAAATGGGTGTGGAGCCTTCTTGGAACTGTTGAAAGGACTGTGTTGTAGACTGGACATAGACGATGTCGTATCCCTCCCCCTCTGTTGAGAAAGAGTTGTAACTTTGACATAGATGGCCTCTTTGACCCCTCTTTCAAAACAGCGGTCCTCTCTGTCCAAAATGTAGACATAGAATGCAAATGACCAGCTGTCTGCAGGGGGTATATTCCATTCCCCACCATCCAGTCAGAGCTGGAGAAGTGTGATGACCCAGGGTGGGATACAAAAGCAACGAAGTCACAAAAACAGGTGAAGTCCCTTTAATTCCTTCAATTTGGCTTCAAAGGTCCAATTATCATTGCCTGGAGAAAAAACTCCCCCACAAACAGTTGCGAAAAAGGAAGAACTTCCGTTCAAACTCAAAATACATATAAATTATAAATAGAAAAAACAACACAAACCACACTGAAGCAATTAAGGAGAATGGGCAGGATAAGGGCTTGAAGACGTCTACAGATATTGAAATACACACACTGGGAAGGACACCAGAACTCAGATAAGAACTGAAAGACTACAATTATTTTATGCTTTGCTTCCAGCACTGGCCCATGCGCTGTTTGTCTTTTTAAACAGTCCTCACAGCTGCAGCCCATGAAAGGGATCAAGGCCCTTTCCTCCCCCATAGACCAAGCCATTCACGTTGCTCCCTTATCCGCTCCTCCCTGTGTGCCCTAGGATGAAGAGGGGATGGGTCTTCCTCTGAAAGGCCATCTGGCCTGTCCCTTCCCCAGTTTCCTCCACACCCTCCAGAGCCACACTCCCACTCCCTGTCAGCTGTTCCTCCTCTCCCTCAGAGTCAGATTCTAACAGGGGCATGACAAGAAGCTTCTTGGATGAGAAGCAAAAAGTCTTCAAAGAAAAACCAGAAACTCCAGTTGCTTCTTGGAAGAAAAAAAAAACACCTTTGAGTCTTGCCACATTTGTTAAGTGAATCACTGCAGTTGTTAAGTTACTAACACGGTTGTTAAGCGAACCTGGCTTCCCCATTGGCTTTGCTTGCCAGAAAGTCAGAATGTCAGGTTTCCAAGTGATTGAAATCCATTTAAAAAGAAAAGAACAAAGTCCATGTTCCGAAACTATTTCTTTTATCTAGGAAAGCATCAAATTGGCAAAGTCTGTTGTAATTCTGGATCTGACACAACCCAGAATTACACCACAAAATATTGGAAATTAGAAACAACCCCCAAAAGTCACATTCCCCAATGGAAGTGAATCAATGTTGCCTGGTCTCATCAATCTCCACCTCCAGGTCTCAGCAGGGTCAGCTTTTGTTCCCACAGGAAAGGAGAACCACCTAGCCTAAACAACTCTCTGTATCTCCACTCCTCCCACCTTAGAAATGTGGCAAGCCTCAAACCCTTCTCCCCATAACCAGCAAAGAGAAAGAAAGAAAAGGAATGTATAATAAGGCTAAATAAAATGGCTACGCATATGTCAATTTCGCGCTTGCCACAATGTCGATAGAGGACCCTAACTTTATTGACATTTTCAATGTACGCTAATCGGCATACATTAAATTAAAATTTCATAACCAGTTGCTAAATGTCTGGATTTTGACCACATTTTCCACGATGTTGGTGTGGAAAACGGTCATAAATCACCTTTTTCAGTGCCTTTGTAACTTGAAACGGTCACTAAATGAACTGTTGTAAGTCAAGAACTCCCTGTACAGTCCTGCATGGATAACCAGCTTTAGGATTGGGCCACCCTGTGTCTTTGCACAACATCCATACAGCTTGCGGATTTCACAGGCACCATATGTTAGTACTAGGTTGTAGTAAACTGTTTGTCTTTGCCCAGATGTTCAAAAACTCTGGACACAGCAGTGGTGAAATTGCCCAAACCGCTTTACCGTTCACTCTCAGCCAGCCTTAAAAATTGTTCTAATAGGCTAGAAGCAGCTGTGTTATATTTTTGTACGAAAAAAAGGAAAAGAAAAAAAAACACCAAATAGAACAAAATCACGAAGTACATAGCTTGTTACTCACTCACAAAATGCATTTCAATGTCTTCTTGGGATATAATTTATACTTCATTACAACATTTGTATCAACCTGATTTTTTTTTTAAACAAGGTACTGCCAGGATGACACACTATTAAATTTACCCTCAAGCTGAACTTCAGCAGCCCATAAAATAAGGCAAATCAATTACACAAGAGTCTCTTCACAGATTTGCCCCACAAATCTTTTGTTTGATTCAGTCTGGTTCATATCTATCTAAATGTATAAGATTATACTGGAAAGCAAGTGTTTGTGGTTTTTGTTTCAGTTACATGCGTGCAAGGGTTATTTTTAAGCCATTTTTTGGGGGGGAACATTGAATTTCCTCAGATATATTTCAAGTATTCCTCTAAAAGCATCAGAATTGGCAAATAGGCAGAGATTTTTTTTAAAGAAAAACTGTTCTTTATGAGAAGTTACAAGGTTTGGTTGGTGTGTCCTACCTAGATGAATCTCCAATTCACCTCAGGGAACCTAATTTGTTTTAAAAGAGGGCAAGGAAGCTCATGGAGAATAAAGTTGTCAATGTCTTTACCTATAGCAGTATGATACCTGTAAATTGTTTCTCACATTGTACATATATATATATTAATCCCTGTTCCAGGGGATGAAATAGAAGGATTGAGTAGCACTTGTGTTGTTTTGGGGCTTGTACAAAGGGCAAAAATATCCCAACATAGATCAACTCTTAATAACAGAATAACAAAATTGGAACGTGGCTAACCTTTTTGGGCTCCTGTGCCAAAAATTACACGTGCATGCGCGCACATGCGCTCATGTGCTAGTACCCAAAAGGCAAAGTGCGCCCCCCAGCCCACTGCACCTGTGTGCGCAATCCTCCCCCCCCCCTGCCACCCCCTTACCTGCACTGCGCCTCACAGCTGATTTTTTCTGGTATTACAGGAAGTGATGAAATGGGCCTATTATTCGTCCTGAAAAGCCTTGCAAAGGCTTTTTTCAAGACTCTGGGAGGCCGAAAAAGGCCTCAAACCAGCCAAAAAGTCAGCTGTGAGGTGCGCGCATGCGCAGTGAGGTAAGTTTGTCTGCAGCTCACGTTCCGGCACAAATGGCTCTGCGTGCCACGTGTGGCATGCATGCCATAGGTTCGCCATCACGGCCCTATACCATTTCAGACAAATAGTTGTCCAATCTCTTCTTTAAAACTTTGTTGGATCATCCACAACTTCTGGAGGCAAGTTGTTCCACTGATTAATTATTCTAATTGTCAGGAAATTTCTCCTAGGTCACTTCTCTCCTGGGTTAGTTTCCAACCATTGTCTATGGAGATTCTCAGACACGTAAATCGTAATTGTCCAAAAGGTGCTTTTTCCCTGAACTTCTAAAGCTGAAGAAGCTTCCTGGATGAGAAGCAAAATGTCTTCAAAGAGAAACCAGAAAGTTTAGTTGCCTCTGGAAAAAGCACCTTTGGGATTTCATCCATTGAAGTTTTTAAAAAGAGATTAGATAACCATTTATTTGAAATGGTATAAGGTTTCCTGCTAAGCAGGGGGTTGGACTAGAAGACCTCCAAGGTCCCTTCCAACTCTGTTATTCTATTCTACTCTACTCTACTCTATTCTACTATTGTCCTGCCTTCAGATGCTTTGGAGAATAACTTTGACTCCCTCTTCTTTGTGGCAACCTCTAAGATATTGGAACACTGCTATGATGTCTTTCTTTTCATTAAACTAGATCTTGATCTGATTCAGCATAGGTCTATCTCTTCAAAATGAAATCTAGTAAGGTTTCCTTGTGTTTTGCAATAACGTTTTACTCCCCATTGCTTCATCAAAGCCATCCTATGATTCTGTGGCATATATTATGTAAAGTTCTGTTGGAAAAATTATCCTTCTGGATTCAGTTCCAAGTGGGGAAAAAGTCACTGGAAACATGGAGGCTGTTTGGAAAGATGGTTTAATGGTGGATAGGACCACATGGCTTGGAACTCCAAAGTGAAAAGGATGATCAGATGCTTCAAGGTGAAGGAAAAGAGAAAAGGAGGGGCCAAGATGCTGAGAGACCCTTATATACCCTCTATTGGGCCCCATCTTAGTGTTTCCTGTTCCTGTGCAAGAAATGTATCCCATTGGCTGTCAGACTCCCAGGGGCGGGGTCTTAACTAACTTTATAGGCTTTGTCTGCACCACATGGCTTCACCTGAGTGTTGGCTGATACAATCTTCCCAGCCCAGGTGGTGAGATGGGTAGAGGCCTTTATTATGTAGAATACTCTGGCCTAGGACTTAATGGCCCATTAGCAAAGATGGGGGGGGGGGAGTGAGTTTCTGCCCCTCTGGTGAGTTTCGGCTTCCGAGTTTCTACTCTTTTTAAGGGAAATATTCTGCCTTTTTAATATTTCCCAGGACATTTCAATTTTCTAGGAGAGGGGTGGGTGCTAACTTCCTACAGTTCAATAGCTAA